CAGTTTGAGAGGCAAAGTCCAAGATCGAGTGACCCCTCTGTTCCCCTGTGGTGAGGACCCCCTTGGCTACATGAACACATAGCAGAGAAGCAGGAAGGGAATAAGGCTTCCCTGTGCAGGAAGCCTCGCTTTATCTCATCCTGCGTCATGAGCCCCAACTCATCCCGTAAGGCCAGCATTAATCCCTCTCAAGGATGATTGAAGACCGCCTGTGAGCCCAATATCCTGCCCTGGGCCAAAACTTTAAAAGATTCTGCCATCTCAACTTTGCTGTGCTGAGGACTAAGCATGCGGACCTTGAGAGGACAAACTCAAACCAAACCCAAACCACTGAAGGCTCCAGTTCTTCTGTTCCAACACACACATACACACGAAACTACTTTCGGATCCCTGTGTGCTGGCACACTCCTATAATCCTGATACTTGGAGAGGTCCAGTCAGTTCAAATCTCACCTGAGCAATTTAGCAAGACCCTGTCTTAAAAAGAACTGGAGATGGTGCCCATGCTAGCTTGTCCTTGGGTTCGATCCCAAGTACCGCAAAGGAAAAAAAGAAGAAAAATCCTCTCAATTGCAGAATCTGATTTTTCTTGTTTGAAAGCAGTTTTGTGTATGTGTGTGAGCCCTCACCCTCACCTCAAATTTCACTGCAAACAAAACTCACATCTACATAATTAGTCACACCATGGAGAGTGAATGAGCAGCACCCAGCGTCTGAATCTGAAGTCACCCGAGCCCTATACAACTATTGCCCATCTCTCTCCTTATAAGCAGCATCACCTTAAGCCAAATACTGTAAAAGTGAGATGTTTTTTTCAAGAAAGCTGGTGACAGTCTTTCACTCAGCACAAATTGACTTAAATAAGTTTCTCCCCTTTTCAGGATTCTTTCTTGCTTCAGGTTCATCTTAAATTAAAAGCAGTACAATAATAATCCAAGAACATCACACCCCTGAATTTCAGCTGCTTCTCTCCGAAGGATCCTCTTCCTCTTTTGAATGTCTGAGCTATTTTTTGGTTTCCACGTGTTCCTCTTCCTTACTTGTCACTGCACATTGCTTTCTATAAGGCATAAGTTGGAGCCTCCAAATTCACAGTCTGATTTTATTCCACAAGATTCACAGTAAGGGTCCCGCGAGACTTGGGAAGGAAGAGAATGACTTCAGAAGTTTAGGTCTCAAGATCTGCCAAAGCAAAGGCATGCGATCCCCACTGGTAATTAAATTCTTCCACTCACTCATGCTGTCAGCATTCACTGAGTATATGCTCTGTGTGAGGCGATATTCTGAGCACTGGTGATGCAGGAGTTACTTGGTTCATTAGAGGGACAATAAATAACATGCTATTCAAACTTGGACCTTATCCCTGAACTCTACACTCTTACACACAACTATCCACCAAACAGCTCTTCTTGAGCATCTAAATGAACCCATAACAGCTCCTTCTTCACCTAAAGACTCATCCAGTTGCTCAAGCCAAAATGTTGAGTCATCCATGACTCCTATGGTCTAATCTAAATCTACTATTGACTCTCTGCAGAATTTAGCAACTTCTTCCATCTCAACCACTCTTCCACCTGATCCTGACCACCAACATCGCTCACCTGGATCACTCCAGTAGCCTCCTGGCCAATCTCCCCATGTTCAACTGTCCCCGCAACACACACACACACACTGAGTCGATTCTAAGCTCTAAAGCTCAAGTAAAACATAAATCAGACAAGGGCATCCTGGGCTTAAAATTCTCCAATGGGTTCCCACAACACTGAAAGTAAAACCCGAAGACCACCAAAGCCAGAGCCCGTATTACCTGGCCCTCTACTAATTTTGGGAACCATGCTCACCCTATCTCATTCAATTCCTCCTCCATGAGGCTTCTTACTGCTCCTGGAAGACGCCAGTGCCCTGGTGCCTCAAGGCTTTGGCACTTCCTGTTCTTCCTACCTAGAAAGATCTCTCCCAAGTTATCCAACTCCTCATGTCTCCCCCGCCACCTTATAAACCCAACCCTTACCCTGTCCTTCCCTCCCACACTCACTCAACCTCCTTTACTTACTTGATGCTCCTTAATCACCTGATATATTGCTTAGTTAGTTAGTTGGTTGGTTAGTTAGTTAGTTAGTTAGTTAGCTATAATTTGTCTCCCCAACTAGCATAAATGCTTCATGAAATAGGATAGGGAATAGTTGGTTGGCTGGGTGGCTGGCTGGCTCATTGGAAGATGGGTTGTCTGGTCAGTTAGTTGGCTATTTGTGTCTTCATCATTTTATGTTCCCTACCTATAACACGCCTGGAATATAGAGAACATTTAAAAAATATTAGGTGAATGAATGGCTTTCTAAAGATATATATGTCTATAGATACGCAGCCATGAAAACAGCAAAATGTCACAAAGACAACTAACTACAGGTGCCACCCTTTCAAGCAGAGTTCAGGAGGAAACAAACTGAGCTGCAGGAACTTTAAATATCAAAGTCCTCAAAATAGGTACAAAAAATACTTCAAATTTTTCCACTGTCTATATCCACGCTTTTTACAATATGATTATTTGGCTCCTTTCAGCAAAAAGTAGACCTTATGTTTGTTCCCTTTCCCTTGGAATTGCTGTGTCTTACTTTTGTAGATAAATAGGATGAAGTGATGGTGAGCTCTTTTATAAGCTTAGGCCCCAAGAGACCAAGAGCAGCCAATGGCAATATTTATATTAAGTCTGCAAGATGGAAGTCCCATATAAACTCCCCATGTGGCAAGTGCCTGGAAGGCCAAATTCCAGATGATCCCAGCACCTTCTTGTGACCCTGGAAACTCTTCTCCTTTTCCAAGAAAAGCATAACAACTAGCACACACAACAGAAGCTGGACAGTTCACCAAAGATGACCTTTCTTCCACTGAGGAAAGGAAAGGGCCCACAAACAGGGTACTCGATCTGACTGTCTCATCATCCCCCTCACTCCCGCTGCCTTGCAGACACCTGGGCCTCCTGCGCGCTGGCTAGACGGTACCCAGGTGTCCACGAGTACCTGTCCTAACTACCAACCACTCTTCCTCTACCTGTGGGCTTCAGATCTCATCTGATCCCTTAAATGAGAACTGAGTACATATAATCTTAGTAGCAAACAAATCATAACAGGGACTACCTGGGTGGCCTTATTGTGTTGTCCTTCTGATTGCCACTCTTACCAATGTCCCGTGCCCTTACTCAGCATGACGTTCTTGGCCTTCTCTCCTCCTCTCCTCTCCTTCTCTCTAAGCAGACAGCTGCTCTTCCTCCACTCAGAATGCCTGGCTTCCATCCTCAATTTCTCCAATCTGGTCAAATATCACTTACCAGTACCATGCCCTAACCAAACTGCATAAAAATTAATTAATTAATTAATAGCAAGCCCCACTCCTGTCTCTGCTGGCACTCACCATGCCCCTTACCCTGCTTTATTTTTCTGTATTACAAAGTCTCCTTAGCTATACTGTATGCACTTATTAGTGTGTCCATTATTACACACACACACACACACACACACACACACACACACACTGACTTAAGCTTCTTGAGGGTAGGGGCTTTATTTGGTTCAGTTCTGTATTCCTTATGCATACAGCAGTGCCTGGCACATGCTAGGGATACCGGTGAGCACCCACTTTGCACCAGGCAATGTATGCATGACACTCACCCAGCAATGGGCAAATAGTTTAAATATCTTTTATGTAATTATCAGAACAGCCCTACTATCGTCACTCTATTGCAGATGAGCCAACCCACCCCATCCAAGCCCAAGCTTGCACTTCCTGTGGTGCCCCAAGCTACCCTCCAAGCACCCAGATGATGGTTTAGGTTGCAATGGGCACAAACATGCATCCCCAGAAGTATGCAGATCCCCAGAGCTCTTCCATCATTCCGCATGACCTGTCACAGCTTTTGTCCAGGAAGTTACACCCTTGAGATTTGATTTTCCTCTCCCTGACCAGATTAGTAGTAACAGCTTTAGCTTTCCCTTATCCTTCCCACTAAGGAAAATCTTAGATCCAAATTTTCTTTCTGACCTGGGCTGGGACCAGGACAGGTCAAGGACCGGGGGGTAAGGAAGCAAAAGTTCATCAACTCTGAAACTTCCTAGCATTTTGGAATTTTTCCAAAACCCCTGACTCTGTGAAGTGTTGTTTCAAACCTTCATAACCCTGGAACTGATGAAAACCACACTATTAAAAATACAAAAAGTACACACTAGGCATGGTGGTGCTCTCCTGTAGTCCCAGTACTCAGGAGGCTGAGGCAGAAGTATCACCAGGAGTTCAAGGCCAGCCTGAACTACAGATTGAGATCCTGTCTTTCCCCCCACCACTACCCACCAACCCACTGAAAAGGCCGACCTGCAATGGGAGTGCCCTCCCCTTAGCTTCCCTTAGTGCCAGCCAGTGTCTACTGAGGTCTGGTCACATACTGAGGATGCCTGCCTGCCCTGCCCTGTCTGGTAAGGGATGCAGGTCATGCCCAGATGACGTGACCAAGACCGAGGCCAAGCGGGGGCCTTCATTTTTTTAAACAGTTCTCTCTACAACCACTGCTCCATTTTCTCCCCAGCATCACAGAGCATGTCACACTTTCCCACTACAGCTGCTTTCCCTCCAGCAGGTGTGAGCTTGCGGGGACCCGGCACCTGTCTCTGCTGCACCCTTGGGATTCATTCCACTCCTGACACACACACTAGGTGCTGCTTGGGAATCTGCTGACTCAGAATGAAGCGTGCTGCACCTACTGCATCCGCAGGAGCCAACAGCACCGGTCACCTCTCCCGGACAGGGCAGGAAGCAGAAGCGCGGAAGAGATCACGCAGACCAGAACAACCTGAAGAACTGGTAGCAGTGCCTGTCACCCATACACCCTCACCCACCACCCCCTGCGCCCTCAGGGCCCCCACATTCAACTTCCAAGCAGGCTTAGAAATCGAGCAAGCTTCGCCCGGTGCCCCACCCCGCTTCACTCCGGCCCAGACACCGACGTTAATTACCTTTAAACAGAGCTGGTTTTCAGCTGCGATTTCCGCATCATGAGTAGTGCTTCGCCGCCCTGCCCTGCCTGCCTGCCGAGCGCTGGACAGCAGAGAGCCCCCGACCGACCGTCTGCGGAAGAAACAGCCCTACCTCGCTCCTCCCCAGCTAAACACATTTGCTCGCCTAGCCCTGCCAAACAAATCCTGTTCTTTTCCATGCACTGAAACCCATCTATAAACAAATCCTCTGCGTGCCTAAGAAACGGCTCCCACGCCCTCGGAGGGCGCTTTCCACACCCAGAAACACGCACGAACCCCAACTCCGCTACCAGGCTTGAAGCAGGCTTTTAACCACAAGAACAGCCCAACGACCACAACAAAACCCAATGGACTGAAACAAACTGCAGCGGTTCAGGAAGCTTGAGAGAACGGAGCTGTAAATGTCAGAAACCTAAGTTACAAAAGTATTTAGGGCGAAAACAGTTTAAATGGCTTCGCCATCAGCCCTTGGGGAGGCCACTTCCGAGGAGCGCGCAGCCCCAGGCAGCCGGCGAGCGCTCGCTCTTCCGCGCGCTTCCCCAGACTCTGCCTGGTCTTTTGTGCCGCGTCCTACAAGCCCCGCTCTGCGCTACCAGCGAATGTGCTTCGGCCGAGCCAGGCGAGCCGCCCCGGCCGGGTCTGAGCGCACCGCAGCGCGCGTCAGCGTCCCCTACCTGGGTGGGGACCCGCCGTGGGTCCCGGGCGCCGGCCGAGCGGCTTCTCCCTAGGCAGCCTGCAAGCAGCTCCGGCTCTGCGGGTCCCGGCGATCCCCGCGGTGTCGCTCACACCTGCAGCGCCGCGCCCACGCCGCCGCCGCAAGCACAGACGCAGCGCGCCCCCGCCCCGCCGAGCAGCCCGGGCGAGAGCCTTCGGGTCTCCTATTCAGCAGGATCCAGGCGTGCAAGATGTGGGCTACCGGCAGATCTGTGCTTCTAAATCCCCTTCTAGTTCGGGGAAAGATGTTAGGGTTCGATCAGAGGGAAGCGGGGACAGCGGGATTCCAAGCCCTCTGGATGCGCAGACCGATCCGTCTGCGAACTTCTTGGTGCTCCGGGTTTAATCGTCACCTCGCGCTCTCCACCCAGCCTGCCCAGAAGGAGGAGGAGACGCTGTCGGGGCCACAAGCCCTTCTGCCTACTCCAAACCTGGGGGTGTCGGAGGGCGAGACCCTAACTCCTGGGAAGGGGATCCTCTGTGCCACCCCCACCCTGTCTTGGCAGTAGACGCTACTGAGCTTCTCTGTCCCCGCCTGAGTAGTCAGTGGGGTCAACAGGAAAACCGAGACCTGGTTCCTTCAACCAAGCTCCACTTCTGCCCCTTCCTTCCATCGCCCAGGATGCCATTCAAAAGGATTCCATAGATAAAACTGCAGAGGCTCACCCAGCGATGAAAACCTCCTTTTGGAGCATAAGAATTCTTTTAAGAGGAAAGGAGGATCAAACAAAAATGACACTGAAAATTCAGAGGCACAAGCAAAGCTCCTAACGCTGCAGGCCTGCCTAGGGTCTGAACTGGGTTCCTGTCTGAAACTCCTCTACCCTGGTCCCCATCCACCGCTTCCGGCTTTCCAACTTCACGGCTGCATCCCTGAGCTGCCCTCCAGCTCTTGGCCTCTTCCTGGCTCAAGTATTCCCTCTGGACCACCGCCTTGCCAGGGTTCTACCACCTCAGTCTCCCAGGGGTGTTTCTTTAAGAATAAGAAATGTCTTGCTTTTGATGTCTTCCTACCGGAAACTATACCTGGCTTCCCCACGTCCTTAGAGGAGGATGGTCAAGGAGCAGACCCGACTCATCTTGTGACAGTGCACTCTGGGAGACTGAGGCAGGAAGCTCTCTGTCTGGGCAAATTAGTGACTTAGAAATTTTCTATTTCCCTAAATATTAAAAATTTTAAAAATGGGGATGGGGAGATAGCTCAGTAGAATAGGCGCTTGGCAAGGTCCTGAGTTCAATCCCCCTGTACCGCAAAAAAAATAAATAAATAAATAAATAAAATAAAAATAAAATAAAAATTTTAAACAAATTAAAAGGGCAGGGATGTAGCTCAGTGAGAAGGTCCAGGGTTCAATCCCCAATACCAAAAAATAAACAAAAAGCTGACATTCGGAATCTCACCTCTCCATCTTTTCCCTTGCTCTCAGCCATTCTTTTTCATTTCTTTTTTTTTTTTTTCTTGGTACTGGGACTCACACCAAGGTCCTTGGGGTAGGCACTAGATCCACTCAACTAGTTCCCCAGCCCTGCCCTCAACCGTTCTGATCCCCAGCCCTGCCTCAACCACTCTAAACTTTGAACTCCTTAAATGTGCCTCCCTACACCGATTCCGGGCCTTTGCACATGCCACTCCTTCCTACTGGAATATCCTCTTCTCTGACTTGTGGCTTCATCTGAGCCCCACCCCCCCACTTCTTCGAGGAAGTCTTCTCACATCCCTGAAAACCAAGTTTTCCCTGCTCCAGGTAGCCAGAGCCACCACCATTGCCTCTGCCACAGCACCTAACATATTATTAAAGTTGTCTTTCTGATGTCTACCTTCCTCATTAGACCTGAAGCTGTCGGCAAATGTGTCTCCATTGTTTGCTAGGTACAGACAGAGAACACGGTATACAGACTCTGCTCAGCATCTACTAGCACAGCTGTGAGCTAGGTTGAGATTGTAACCTCAGAGCCGTCCCAGGTAAGAACTACACATGCCCCGAGTTCAATTACAATGACCCTTCTCAGCATGGATTTACATTGCCTATTTTTAAACTCTAGATGAGTGAAATCATTGTTATACTTAAAATAATGTCTGGGGGATCCACCCGTATCATTGTATGTGTTTTAATATGTCACTCCTTTTTACTGTTGCAGAATACTCTACTGCCTGAATATAATGCAATTTACTTGTCCCTTCTTCTGTGGGTGGATGTGTGGGTTGCTTCCTGTTTTTAGCTGTTCTGACTAAAGCTGCTACAAGCATTTGATAGATAGGCACCCTTTTCTTTTGGAAAAGGAATGACCTTTTGGAATAGCTAGGTCATAGGGCAAGGTTTCATTTTAGTTGATTTCACAAAGCAGCTTTCCAGAGTGGTTGTGCCAATTTACAGTCACAATTGCAATATTTGAAACTTTCAGATCTTCTACTTCTGTGCTCTAACTCAGCATTGGCCATCCTTTTACATTTTAGCCACCATGTATTGCGTTTTGACGTAACTTCAATTTGCATTTTCTTTTCATTTTTTTTTCTTTTTTCTTTTTTCTGTACCAGGGTTCAAACTCAGGACCTTGTGCTTGTCAGGTTAATTTGCATTTTGTTGTTAAAAATGGTGAGATGGATGTGGTAGCGCACACTCTGTTTCTTTTTAAGGTTTCTTTTTTTTTTTTTTTTTTTGGGTGTGTGTGTGTGTGTGTGTGTGTGTGTGTGTGTGTGTGTGTGCAGGGTCTCACTACACAGCTCAGACTCATAGTGATCCTCCTGGTTTCTGCCTCCCTAGTGCTGGGATTATAGGCATGCGCCACCGTGCCCAGACTGCTGTTTCTTCAGAGAAACTCCAGCCTTCATCTTCACCTTGGATATCGTCTCCTGACTTCCAGCCCAGCCCCTTCAGCCTCCTGACACCAACTTGCGTGGGACATGACAGTGAAGGCCTGGCCTGTGACTAGATCTTTTGGGTGCCCATTGCACACACGGGCCTTTTGCACTTTTCCACGCCCGACTCTGGGCAGCCACTGTAAGCCAATCTTTAAATTCTCATACATTTGTATATCTTGTATTGAGTCTGTTTCTCTAGATAGAGATTTTAGGATCTGAGCAGCACCCAGAAGGCTGGAACAGAAAGGTTGCCACATGTTGGAGGCCAGCTTGGGCTAGATAGTGAGTTCAAGGCCAGCCTGGACTACATGATGAGACCCTATCTCAAAATTGTAATAATATTCTGAGCAATTTTTCACATACATATTGGTCATTTAGACATCCTTTTATGCGGGGCCATCTCAAGTCTTTTGACCAATCCATTGAATTTTATTTATGCTTTTCTCATTCATCTGTAGGCAATCTGTTTTAGATACAAATTGATAGATAGTTTTGTTATCATCTAGTTGGGTCATATTTTATTCTCTTAATTTTAATCAAAGACAACTCACCAATTTTTTTCTTTTGTAGTTAGAAGATGGATCCCACGATTTTTTTTTGTGTGTGAATCTTTTGGTTCAGAAACCCTTATCTATCACAGGACTGGGCAGCTATTATTTCCTTATTTCCTTCTGTGAACTTGTTTGCTTTTCCCTACACTTCTGTGCATGTAAATAATGAGACAAATTCAAAGTGTGTGTCTTACACAAACAGCCACACGGAAAACTGTTAGGGGAAAAAGCCATACTTACTAACTAGCTTGCAGTAACCCTTTTGTTGTAATCAAGTGGCCATCTAGGTCACTCTTCTAGATCTATTGCTGGGCCTGTTTTAGACTGTTTCAGAATCTCAGTTCTTTTATTGGCCTTATGAACACATCCCTATGTCTACATGGCAATGTCTTAATTAGTTCCCCTGGGGCTGGGGAGATGGCTCAGTGGAATAAGCACTTCCCTGGCAAGCACAAGGGCCTGAGTTCAATCCTGGGTTCCACAAAAAA